ATAGCGTTGACCAACTCGGGGTGATTCTGAGATTCATGCCACAACTGATTCGAGTCTGCACACTGAATAACAAATACCACTTTCCACCAAAGGTACATCTCATTTCTTGAAAAAGAAAAGTTCAACATTCCACTGCCTCATTCCTCAGACAGTCAAAAGTATGAATATCTTCAACCGTACTGACTCTCTATGCTCTGGATTCCAGCCGTAAATGATAAGACGAAAGACAAATTAACCCTGTAATTGGCCCTCACTAATCCCGATTAGCTTCCACTGTCATCAAGCACCTATCACAAGCACTATGGGGCAAGCTGTTTAGATCACTAAGCTATGTGTTGACAACATAATTGCTGCTCACAGGGACATAAAGAATCAGCAGTAAGACCTCTCCTGGAGATAGACACAACACAATACTGTGGAATCAAAGGGCCATTCAGTAGATTAATAAAACAGATTAAGTTGCATTAGCAATTGTCTAGTTAATATGACATCAGCTTTATTTTGCTGTCCTTTGTCAAGAGGTCTTTAACAGTATAAACTTTGGTGCATATTTTTCAATTGTGCAACAGGTTGGTTGGTTGGTTGGTTTGTTGTTTAACGCCGCACTCAGCAGTATTCCAGTTATATGACGGCGGTCTGTAAATAATCGAGTCTGGGCCACACAATCCAGTGATTGATATCATGAGCATCGATCCACGCAATTGGGATCGATGACATGCATCAACCAAGCCAGTGAGCCTGACCACCCGATCCCGTTAGTCGCCTTTTACGACAAGCATAGTCACCATTTATGGCAAGCATGGGTTGCTGAAGACCTATTCTACCCCGGAATCTTCACAGGCACTCACAGGGCACTGACTGGTGTGCCCCAGAAATCACATGTGACAACTAGAAGAATACCTCTAATCGGTATTTGAACTTGATGCATGTCATTTTATCACCCCACTCAGGAATATTCCAGCAATATAATAATCGAATTTGGACCAGACAATCCAGTGACTGACATCATGAACATCAATCTACGCAATTGGGATAAATGACTTGCATCAACCAAGTCAGCGAGCCTGACCACCCAATCCTGTTAGTTGTCTCTTACGACACGCATAGTCATCTCTTACATCAAACATCGGTCGCTGATGACCTGTTCTAACCCGGATCTTCACAGCTGCATTTAATGGGCTAGATAATAAACAGCTGAAATTTAGAAGCTCGCCCCGTTCCTTAACAATTAGATTGATAGCCTTTAGAATTCCTGAATCTCCAAATCTATTTTGTGAATCATACTGTGTTAACAATTCAAATGTTCATCATTTTCCATGTGTTTCATCATATTCCATCTTTTTGTCACGGTTATTTGTTTGATACTCGCTTCATCACCTTCATATAATAAACATTCCCACATGGTAAACTGTAAGCAGGGATGAGAATGGATATTTTCCTTTTCAGCTAAAACATCTTTGCAATGGAGCATGGTCCATAATCTGGGGGTGTTTTTTTGTTTTTTTAAACAAATTTGTGGTCACTAAAATTTGTGGAAATTTGCGGACGATTCTCATCCCTGTGTAAGCATGGTTAGGAAAATAGGATTTCTAAGTGTGCCCATCAGTCACAGCAGATCTATCTTAAAGTGTCAACACAATGTTAACCATGTTAACTGTGCCATCCACTACTAAAATACAATTAATTTCTAAGCCTGCCATCACTATGTGGCATGTGGGTCGACGTGTTGTCTTTCAGGATGACAATGTTTATGCTCACCGTGCACGAATCGTCAATGTTCACCACCAGCAGCACAACACCCATAGAATGGCATGGCCAGCGATGACCCCAGCATTTCCCCCACTGAACACGTCCGGGACATGACAGAGAGACGTGTGCGTCAGCGTCATAGGCGGCTGACCACATTGGCCAGGTGCTGCAAGCGGAGTGGGACAGAATCCCTCAAACTGACATTGGGATAATGTGAGTGAGTTGGGTTTAACGCTGACCTTTAACAGTATTCCAGTTATATCACGGCGTGTCAGCTTAATGTGGGAGGAAAGCCCGAAGTGATGCAGGTCTCAGACGTTTACCACTTCGGTGAAACCCACGAGCACGGATATTGTGCTGACAAATCTAGAAACATAATCGGGGCGAACCGGGATTCAAACCCACAATCATAGGTTTCTGGCATGCCCAAGGGACACAACTCTGCACAGCGAATCGCGGCGCCTTAAGACGACTGGGCCGTCCGTGTCCCCCATACGCATAATGCACCATCAAGAGAATGAATGTTTGACAAATAGTGGCGTCATTACGCATTACTGACAAAAAAAACGTCAACTTTGTCAAAATTCTCAACTTGATCTCATCAAGATCATTGGTGGTAATAGTCTACTGTCATACTTGACTACCAGTTGTAAAGTGTTCCTATTTAATTTATTATTAGTATACAACTATAACTAGAAACATATATCTTACAATATTGGAAAATTTAAGGAGAGTCTATTGTATGATTCTGACTACTTCTTGATGAAAGTGTAACCCATGCATAAGCTTTCTACAGAATTTGTTTTCTGGTCCTCAAAATTTGGCTTTTCTACGTTCATATATGGCATTTCATGATCATGAGTTTATGAATTACTGTCAAACTGTGATGACACCAGGTGTTCGTGAAAAAGTGAACGTATTCTGCCCCTCTAGCCCCACTCGTCACAAGCCAGGGGCGTCGCGGGCAAAAGGCACAACAAGGCGTCAACAGATATTTTCACAATCTTTTCATCTTTCTAATCAAGGTGCTGACATGATTTGATGCACTTTGTGAAGTAAAACCACGTTTTACAACAATATAGAATTTGATTACCAATCAGATGGTCTTGACTGGGTGCCACCATTTTGTTTGAAGCAAATGTAAGTGATATGAGAGGTGGAATCTGCTTTGTCAGTAGGAGGGACATAGCTGGGACATAATTCACAATAGCCACTGGTGGCGCTACGATCGAGCCACGAGGTTACAGGGTAGTTCGGCAAGGGTGGAAACTGGACATTTACAGTCAGTTAACTCCCTTGCCTCAGGAAGATGTCCTTAGGATGGCTTGTCATATCTTGATTGAGAGAGGTATCAAATCAGAGCCAATATTAAAGGTCAGGTAGGTACTACTTCCGGTGGTTATCATCCTTGTCTATCACTGAACGAGTCAGACTTAGCCATGGATCTGGAAAAAGTACAGGATCTGCACAACTGAAAACCAGGGTTTGAGGCATTTTACAAGCGAGGACACCAGCGGGTTCCGTTTCCATGTCTGTGCTTGATGACCTCTGCGGCTTGAGGAATTTTCCCCAATTTACAACAGTTGGACTTGGCCAACCTTGTTTCACTTTGTGCCTGGGTGGACATCTCACTGCATTTCGTAATGTTACATGACTTATTGGTGAAAACTAATTTGTTTCAGAAAACAGGGTAGTGAAATACTTTTTTCCTTTGTTAAATGGAGATGGTTTTGGGGTTGAGTTTGGTTTGTTGTTTAACGCCACACTCGGCAATATTCCAGCTATACAACAGCGGTCTGTAAATAATCGAGTCTGGACCAGACAATCCTGTGATTAATATCATGAGCATCGATCCACGCAATTGGGATCGATGACATGCATCAACCAAGTCAGCGAGCCTGACCACCCAATCCCGGTAGTCGCCTTTTATGACAAGCATAGTCGCCTTTTACGGCAAGCATGGGTTGCTGAAGACCTATTCTACCCCGGAATCTTCACGGGTCAAATGGAGATGGTGAATCACATGAAAAATGTTTTTGTCCAAAAAGAACTACATTTTTCAGTGCCCCCTTCAGAGAAAAAACAAAAATCCCCGCCCAACCCAACCCCTCAAAATGAATAGTTACTACCTTAGTCAGCACACATGAGACGCAGGTTGAGGTGACATACCCTCAAGTTTGGGGGCCTTGACACACCTGACCCGGAGACACAACCCAGATACACAGTATGAGTAGTTCATGACTAAACACACAATCACAAGCCCTGATGGCGTCAGGTCACCCTGATATAAATTACCACCAAAAATCTGCGTGACCTTTATTCAATGCAAGAAAAGTATTCGATTGTAGGTCAAGGACACAGAACTCGACAAGATAGCTTGTTTGGGGGGGGGGGGGGGGGGGGTATACATTAATAAGTGTTAAAGACCTGCTACATTAACCTATCTTCCATAGTGAAGTATATTTCCACAGTATCAAACATACTGCAGTGAGATGAGACTAATCTTAAATGTGACCTGGCTTCTCGTGTCAGTCAATCCTAGATTTGTGTCATTGTGCTAATTCTAACAACAGAATATCTGGCTTTCACACATGTGTTTTTTAATATATAACCATCTGTTTATGTCACGAGACACACATCTGTGGATTAAAAAAAAGATCGGAAACACTTTATATCTATACTTATCATTTAAAGAGTTGTATGATCGTAATTCTACTTTTGGCATTGCTAAATAAGGCATTAGATCAAACCAACTAAATGTCAGATAACAACAATTTCTATATGGCCTGTATTAGTTGCTGCAGTGTCCGAAAACAAAACTGGCTCAATCTTTTTATTATCGCTACTCTAATATTAGATGTGTCCTTCCACAATGAAATAATGAGAATAGGGCTCCGTGTATGTTTCGAAGTGAATTATTGAGTATTATTGAGTCCACAGCTCGCCTATATACTTGTACCCATTAATCGTCCTGTCTCAGGAGGTCTCAACGCGTCTGTTACACGTTTACGTGCTCATACATTAATATCTTGTGGAACAAACGCAAAAATAATCCATGTTTCAAATCACGACCCGCACGGACGAGTACCGCAGCACCAAAAGCACGTGCGGGATATAAACACGCGATCAATATCCAAGGAGGTCCAAGACTGGCGATGCCGTTGTTTACCATTATTTGCGAAACTTCCGCGTATTGCTTGCAGCTACAAAATGGCATTTTTTGCACGTTTTAAGCATTTGAGCATACTTACCGCTAAGTCCGCCTCCAACTACAATAACTTCGGCTTTGTACTGGTTCATGCTACCTCCCTGCACAGCAGTGCTCGCAAATGGCAGTTTCACAACACTGCTATCCGAGAATTCGTCACGTGACATCTGTCAGTTGAGGATCAATATGGCCTCTTCCGCGACCAAGTGGTTCAGGGACGACCGAGCTTACTGCAACAAGCAGACTTAATTATTTGTGTTTCAGGTGTCAAAATAGATTGCGGCGGGAAACAGTGTTATTGTATCAGCATTGCTATTGGGAGATTTGTCGGTAGCTGGCCACGGTTCCCGCTAAAGTATGGCCTTGATGCGCCATTCCTGCAGTTTATATATAACCATTTCGACCCTTGCGCAAGTGAACCCAGACCACAATGATGCTAATAAAACTAATGAGGTTCAACCCTTTAATGTGCAAGCACTGTATATAATGGCCACTATATCCTCTTGCAGCTGCTGCTCGTTTGTTTGATCGAGAGATGCTAATTACTATCTCGTGTAATTGGAAATGGTGAATTAAAAGAAGATAATTTAAATAATAGTACTAAAACAGATGTAGATCTATATTTTGCCCATATTTACGGAAATTGAGTAGGATGATATCATGTTAAAATTATATTTAACGTTGAATTATTTATACATGTTAAAACACCAGTAAAAAGTATTTTTCATTCATTAAGTGGGGGCGGTCGGGTAACCTAGTGGTAAAGTGTTTGCTCGTCACGCCGAAGTCCCGGGTTCGATTCCCGGCATGGGTACAATGTGTGAAGCCCATTTTTGGTGAACCCCCGCCGTGATATTGCTGGAATATTGCTAAAAGCGGCGTAAAACCATACTCACTCATGCATTCATTAAGAAAGGGGTGGGCCGGTTGTGTAAGTTGCGGCATATAAAGACGAAATAGTGCGTGAATATATTTATCGCCGCTGTCAGTAACATTTAATCTATATCACGGCGGCCTGTTAAGAATCGTGCTCAGATCTGGACCAGGCAAACCAGTGATTGCATGGGTAACACGAGTCGATGACCGCCAGTCAGCTACGTCACAAACGTAGGACGCTGGGGTCCATGTCTACCCCGGGACATGAGGTGAGGACATTCAATCAGCTACGTCACAAACGTAGGACGCTAGGGTCCATTTCTACCCCGGGACATGAGGTGAGGACATTCAATCAGCTACGTCACAAACGTAGGACGCTGGGGTCCATATCTACCCCGGGACATGAGGTGAGGACATTCAATCAGCCAAGCCACAAACGTAGGACGCTGGGGTCCATATCTACCCCGGGAAATGAGGTGACGACATTCAATCAGCTACGTCACAAACGTAGGACGCTGGGTTCCATTTCTACCCCGGGGCATGAGGTGAGGACATTCAATCAGCCACGTCACAAACGTAGGACGCTGGGGTCCATGTCTACCCCGGGACATGAGGTGACGTTATTCAATCAGCTACGTCACAAACGTAGGACGCTGGGGTCCATGTCTACCCCGGGACATGAGGTGACGACATTCAATCAGCTACGTCACAAACGTAGAACACTGGGGTCCATTTCTACCCCGGGGCATGAAGTGACGACATTCAATCAGCCACGTCACAAACGTAGGACGCCGGGATCCATGTCTACCCCGGGACATGAGGTGACGTTATTCAATCAGCTACGTCACAAACGTAGGACGCTGGGGTCCATGTCTACCCCGGGGTCAGGATGGGGAAGACAATAGCAAAATACTCAAATTCTATGTACCAATTCGAAAACTTCTTTGTTTCATGATATAAAGTTCCACACACATTGATATCTTGGTTTCATGATATATAGTTCTACAGATATTGACATCTTTGTTTCATGATATAAAGTTCTACACATATTGATGTCTTTGTTTCCTGATATAAAGCTCTACAGATATTGACATCTTTGTTTCATGATATAAAGTTCTACAGATATTGACATCTTTGTTTCATGACATATAGTTCTACACATATTGATGTCTTTGTTTCATGATATAAAGTTCTACACATATTTATGTCTTTGTTTCATGATATAAAGTTCTACAGATATTGACATCTTTGTTTCATGATATAAAGTTCTACACATATTGATGTCTTTGTTTCATGATATAAAGTTCTACACATATTGATGTCTTTGTTTCATGATATATAGTTCTACACATATTGATACCTTTGTTTCATGATATAAAGTTCTACACATATTGATATCTTTGTTTCACGATATATAGTTCTGCGCATATTGATATTTTGCTTTCATGATATAAAGTTCTACAGATATTGATATCTTTGTTTCATGATATATATAGTTCTACACATATTGATATTTTGGTTTCACAAAGAGAAACCTTTGTCAGTCAGAGCTCGGCTCGACATTGAAAAGTGAATGTTTAATTTAATTCATGTCAAGCATTGCATTGTCATTGGAATAGATCTGGTAATCCTTGTGTAGCTGATTATTGATGTGGATGACGGCAGATGGTCAAGATATGAGCTCTGGGAGCGCACGTACACACGATTAACCACATTAATGTCACCATAATGGCTCCAAATGAAAGGAAAACTGTGCTGCCCTTCCCGAGCGGTTACTAATGAGAAGTTTAATATATATATACGTTAAGATATTCACAGTTACCAGCTATTCCTTTGTTCATAATTAAAATTACAACATAGCAAGATAGTGCATATGCCTGGTGACAGGTGCGTTTTATGAGTTTGCATTTACTCACGCCCCGATATCTAGGCATCAACTTCTCACCGATGAACCGGTGTTGACCAAAGTATTACCCAGGTGAACCCGCGTTAACCAAAGTATTACCCAGGTGAACCCCTGTTGACCAAAGTATAACCCGAGCTGACCAAATTATTACCCAGGTGAACTTGTGTTAACCAAAGTATTACCCAGGTGAACCCCTGTTGACCAAAGTATAACCCGAGTTGACCAAATTATTACCCAGGTGAACTTGTGTTAACCGAAGTATTACCCAGGTGAACCCCTGTTGACCAAAGTATAACCCGAGTTGACCAAATTATTACCCAGGTGAACTTGTGTTAACCAAAGTATAACCCATGTGAACCCGTGTTAACCGAGTTATAACCCAGGTGAACCCGCATTGACCAAAGTATAACCCAGATGAACCCGTGTTGACCAACGTATTACCCAGGTGAACCCGCATTGACCAAAGTATAACCCAGATGAACCCGTGTTAACCAAAGTATTACCCAGGTGAACCCGCATTGACCAAAGTATAACCCAGATGAACCCGTGTTAACAGAGGTATAACCCAGGTGAATCCCTGTTGACCAAAGTATAACCCAGGTGAACCCGCATTGACCAAAGTATAACCCAGATGAACCCGTGTTAACCAAAGTATTACCCAGGTGAACCGGTGACTAGTTGACTAGTGTTAGCTCATGCTAACTGATAAGCCATACTTTAGTTGACCCAAGTTGCCCATACCTAGTGAACCCGTGGGGTGAGGTAGTCTGTTTTGCGGCCTCCAAGTGACGTCATCCGTAAAAAAAGTAGTTTCAGTTAATGATTCAATCATTAATAAAAACAATTTAATGAATATAATTAACTACGTATTGATAGTGTATAGTTTGCCAATATGGGTCAGGGAAAATTAACTTTCGATTGTTGAAATAGCTTAGAATTAAAGATGCAACTTTGATGATGATTTTGCATGGCGTTTGTTGTAATAAGCGGCTTTTTAAAGTTTCTTGTCATTTAATATGTGTTATATAGAAACGGTACAGTGGCAGCTCTCTGAAGCAATGAAACACTTGTCAACCACTCCTAGTTGTGTGTTGTAGGACATGGCTATTGTCTCTCTCCATCTCCTTGCAGCCATCATAATATCTAAGGTTGCATTGTATGTGTTTTATGTCGAATAGTGCCCGAAGTTGTCCTTGATTAACACTGGATATAACTAAGGTTGAATCCACTCAACCCCGGTCGCCAGAAATGTGGTAACCTCGGTTGACTCAGATTACTCAAATTCTTCCAGTCGAACGCACGTACTGACAAACTAGACACCTGTTCTCCAAGACTCAGTACCATACAGGTGCCCTGAACGCACGTACTGACAAACAAGACACCTGTTCTCCAAGACTCAGTACCATACAGGTGCCCTGAACGCACGTACTGACAAACTAGACACCTGTGCTCCAAGACTCAGTACCAAACAGGTGCCCTGAACGCACGTACTGACAAACTAGACACCTGTTCTCCAAGACTCAGTACCATACAGGTGCCCTGAACGCAGGTACTGACAGACTAGACACCTGTGCTCCAAGACTCAGTACCAAACAGGTGCCCTGAACGCACGTACTGACAAACTAGACACCTGTTCTCCAAGACTCAGTACCATACAGGTGCCCTGAACGCACGTACTGACAAACTAGACACCTGTTCTCCAAGACTCAGTACCATACAGGTGCCCTGAACGCACGTACTGACAAACTAGACACCTGTGCTCCAAGACTCAGTACCAAACAGGTGCCCTGAACGCACGTACTGACAAACTAGACACCTGTGCTCCAAGACTCAGTACCATACAGGTGCCCTGAACGCAGGTACTGACAAACTAGACACCTGTGCTCCAAAACTCAGTACCATACAGGTGCCCTGAACGCACGTACTGACAAACTAGACACCTGTTCTCCAAGACTCAGTACCATACAGGTGCCCTGAACGTAGGTACTGACAAACTAGACACCTGTTCTCCAAGACTCAGTACCATACAGGTGCCCTGAACGCACGTACTGACAAACTAGACACCTGTTCTCCAAGACTCAGTACCATACAGGTGCCCTGAACGCACGTACTGACAAACTAGACACCTGTGCTCCAAGACTCAGTACCATACAGGTGCCCTGAACGCACGTACTGACAAACTAGACACCTGTGCTCCAAGACTCAGTACCATACAGGTGCCCTGAACGCACGTACTGACAAACTAGACACCTGTTCTCCAAGACTCAGTACCATACAGGTGCACTGAACGCACGTATTGACAAACTAGACACCTGTGCTCCAAGACTCAGTACCATACAGGTGCCCTGAACGCAGGTACTGACAAACTAGACACCTGTGCTCCAAGACTCAGTACCATACAGGTGCCCTGAACGCAGGTACTGACAAACTAGACACCTGTTCTCCAAGACTCAGTACCATACAGGTGCCCTGAACGCACGTACTGACAAACTATACACCTGTGCTCCAAGACTCAGTACCATACAGGTGCCCTGGACGCATG